ATGCCACCAAAACGAAGAACTCTGCTGGGCAGAAGTACGTCAGCTGCGAATAGAATGGCAGCCTCAAGAGATGCTGAGAGTCTAGAGCGCAGACAAACTCGGCTTGATGATCAACGTTCAAGACAAGCGGCTTCAAGAGACGCCTAGAGTCCAGAACAGACACGGACTCGAATTGACGATCAACGTGCAAGACAAGATGCTTCTCGAGCAGCTGAGAGTCCAGAGCAGAGACAAACTCGGCTTGGCGACCAACGTGCAAGACAAGCTTCCTCAAGAGGCGCCGAGAGTTCGGAACAGAGACAAACTCGGCTTGGTAGTCTACGTGCAAGACAAGCGGCTTCAGGAGACGCCGAGAGTCCAGAGCAGACACGGATTCGAATTGACGAATTATCTAGACCGACATCGGGTACTTCCGCTAGTAGGTTATATACAAACAAATGGAGAATGGCCGTTTACAGTTCATTTCTTTACTGAAGTACAACTTGATCGATTTGTTAAATATTGCAAGACCGAAAAATATTCAACGTTACATGTTGACGCTACTGGTTCTGTTGTACGACAACCAAAACATCAGAAGGACGTCTTCTTTTATTGTATGGTGTTTCAATATAAAAATTCTCCAATCATGCCGCTTAGTGGAGCACTATTATGTGATCGTACAGCCGCCTCGATTACTTCTTATTTTAAATTGTTTTCGCGGTAAAATAGCAATACGCAGCAAAGTTGCTCGCCCAGCGTTCGTTGTTATTGACTTTTCTGCCGCATTAATTAATAGCGTATTAGCTTCGTTTAATATTGAAAACATTCACACTATTTGCGTCGATGTTATAATGCACTTGATCGCGTCTATGGCACCAAACAACTACGTAATATGACATTTTTACGATTATACTGTGATCATGTTATGAAAGCTTTCTCGCGTAGTCTTTTCAAACTGAACGTGTCAAAAGAAACTCATCATCATTTAATGTCGCTTTTCGCCATATTATTAAATTCGACGGAGCTCGAAGGTGCATTCGTCTTATATGCACAGATTGTCTATGTTTACGGAGATCCATATTTGGACAACTCATCTGATGCACTAGCTTCGCTTTTGAGAAAATCTGATTCGTGTGAATTCGATATTGAATCATATTTGCAAGAAAGCGATGTTAAAGATGATAAGCCAATAAAACAAGATTTTCTCGATGAAACAGATATAACAATGGATCCCATTATTCATCAATCACTATTCATTGTCAAAGCATGTGATAACATTCCATATCTCCGTCAAATCATTCAAAAAGAAGAACTTCATAAAGAACCAAGTAATTCTCTTTATTCACCAAAAATTATTCGTTTACTACATAAATGGTTTGCTTATATTCCTTTTTGGTCTTGCATAATGACTGATTTTTTTGAAAGATAAGTCTCTTCTATTAAATTTATAATAATTACTATGCTTATCATTTAGATATGCTAAAGATGCAAAAAACGTGTCAACGGATGATTGGGAGTTTGAACATGGCCGACTTTCAAATGCCACAATCGAGACATATTTTCGAACCATAAAATCATCGGTACTTGAACATTATACCAATCTTCGACCTTACGATTTTATAATGCGAACTTACAATCATACACGCTCGCATTTCAAAGGTGATAATTTGGTGTAGCTCAATCTTCAAGTGGTAGAAAAAAGCCACGAGTCAAATTAGACGATTTAAATGTCAAATTAGACGGTTTAAAGATGAATGGCAACGTCGTGCTCGATCAAATACAACAAATGGTAAACATAGATTCTACTTTAATGATAAACTTGGTCAAACAAATGCATGCAAATTATCGTAAGCGATTTTTTTCATATTTTCAAAGTGGTTACAATGATATGTATTCTTTAGTAAAGGAAAAATGAATAAACAGATAATTGCATTTGATGACCGTTCAATTCCAACAAAAAAACATTCTCCTACAAATATGCCAGTCAATTTCGAGTATGTACACGTATTATAGATAAGATTTTCTATATCAAAAATTAATGATTTTTGGTTAAAATTCTAATGTTATTATTAATTAATTTTTAGCGGACCGCTATCAGATTCATCACATAATTCAATTAATGATCACTCACTTGGATTTTCCATCGTATCGTCCAATGCACTTAAGAAAAAAGAAGAAAATACGTGTGATTCCAAAGTGATTTCACGATCTTCATCATTAATTAATCTGAATAGATCACCAGCTAAATTTTCTGATTCGTCTTTCAATATTTTCTCGACTTTATTAGCTGGTAATGGTGTTAACGACCTCGATAATGTGTACTACAAAACTGATGAACGACATGATGCGAATGATTATGATTGTGTTGTTGATAATACTAGTTTGTCTCAAGCATTTTCTCCAAAGCGTTCATATCCGTCATCTGATAGCGGTTATTCTATGTCAAAGCGGAAACGCCAAAACGCCCAAAAAATTGCGATCAAAAAAAGTGAAAGTTTCGCCACCAAACTCAATTGACAAACGTAATTTTCCATTTAACACAGATAATCGTGCAACTACAGTTGGCAACCTTAAGCTCACGTGGCCATCATATGGAATAAAAAATGCATTATATGCCGGCGAATGTTTCTCTATATTTAACACTTGCCCGATCGATACAGGCTTATTCGTTCTTTATTAT